CACTGCCGGGCTCAACCCCCCGTGCTGCTTTTTATTCCCGGAAAGAGGTGATAACCAAGCCTCGGATGACACGGGCTCCACAGCTAAATGCTTATTTTATTCCAGAAAAGACCCAGTACTGAACCCTTAGCCAGGCCCGGCTCCCCTGCTTGACTTTTCCCAGGAAAACCACAATATTCAACTCTTGGACAGCCCCAGCTCCCCTGCTTGATGCTTTATTTTTCCCAGGAAAACCACAATACTCAACTTGTGGTCATCCCAGGCTCCCCAAGACAACACTTGCTCTGTATTTCCCAGAAAATCCCTGACATCCAACTCCCAAACAGCCCAGGCTCCCCAACTCAGCACTTTATTTTTCCCAGACAACCCTAGTATTCCCCTCTCCACCAGCCCATCCCACTGCAGAGCCAGCCCTGCCTTCCAAGTGCTCACTGTGCTTTGCTGTCCACAACGCTCCATGGTGATTCCAGGCCGGATGCCCGGGACACTGACAGCGGCTCCCACCCCGCTCCAGCAACACATCACCGCGTTGGGCCCTGTTTATTTGCTCTGTGTGGGTCCAGCCACAGCCAAATGCCCATTCCAGGTATTGCAGCACTGGGCTTGGAAGGGGTCGGTTTCCATTCAGGAAATAAACCCGCTGGGGAGGAATCCCCCCATGAGAAACTAACCAGTGCAGTGAGGAGGTGCCATACACTGCACCTGTCCATGGGGCTGCATCCAATGTCCTTCCCACCATCACCTCTCCAATACTGGTTACAAATAATCTGCCGGGAGGTTGCGGTTCCCTGCTCCAGCTGGGAATGGGGAGCCGGGTGGTGAATGGGCCAGGAAGTGTGTAAATCACCACAAAATCCATACAGCACTGGTGCAGTGGTGCTGGGGCGTGCAGGTGCAGGCAGCGTGTGGGCAGCCTGAGCGTGTGGGTGCAGGCAGCACATGCAGGCAGCGGGGAGGGCAGCATGCTCTGGTTGCCCTGCTTGGGAGGAGACTGGGATTATTTAGGCACTGGGATCTCTCAGTCCATGTGCCACCGGTTGTCCGGCTGCTGCCAGTTTACCAGTTGCCTGTTGGGAAGCAAAGAGATCCCCTTGCCCTGTGTAGAGCCGCCCCCCAGGCTGCATTGCAAGCACAACCTTATTATTAGCTGTCAGAGACTCCCCCTGGAGGTTGCTGAGGGCAGCCAGCGCGGGCAGGTTTTCGGCTCTGCAGGGGGTGCCCCGGCTGGGGTTGACGTGGGG